CTGACCCCTCGATCGTTTCAAAAAAACCTATCTCTCTGCAATTCCATACACACACGCAATTCCTCTTGAATTCGTTCTGGCTGCATCATCGGATGGGGATTTTGATAAGGCCAATGCGACCCCCCCATTGAGGGGTGGCTTAGTAGGACCCCGCTGCGCTGATTCTCCCCCTGATACGAATACGAACGAGCCGTTGAGAGGTGGCAGGAGGGGGGGTGGAGAGGCGTATATACACGTTTGAAGCGTGAGAACACCTTTAACGTAAAAATACGACCCCGTTCTCCATCCATCTATCACTTGCTTGGATTGTCCCAGCTTCCTACCACTTTTCCGAGTTTTTCTGGAACTCTCCGAAGATTTTCCCATGTCCCCAAACTTTGCAGTCGAGCGGGGTTATACAGGGGGGCCAAAAAAAAGACATTTCGACCGAGTCACATATCAGCAAAGTTTTCGCAGCCCAGACAGAGAACGTGGATACGAGTACCAGGGCGGAGGATACCCAAGATGTTCCTCTATAAGCAGGAGCTGGCGCTCGCCCATCACCTTCATGTACACCAAAATATGAAGTCATCTCCAGCCGCAACCTGACTGGAGAAGACCTTCGGAACTCATGTCACCTCCAAACAGCTGCGAAACTTCTAGTGAGATCCATGGATAGTACCCCGGAGACCAGTTCTCTCGCATCAGCAAGACCCCGCGTCAATGCTCCAGCCGACAACCGTCGCTACGGTCTAGGACATCATCTTCACCACTGTCGCCAGGGCGCGGGTTGATGGTATGGACCGGAGGTACTTGGAATGGGAAGACCGATATTTTCTTCTTGGACCCCGGCTGAAGGTGAGCGCTGGCGGTTACATCGAGCAACTGAGAGAAGAATATCCTCCCCACATGTCGCCGCCCCTACCTTCTTGGAAACTTTGTACTGCTACAGCATTGGGTGCCACCACATGAAATCGAAGGGCGTTGGAGAAACACTCGCCTACTTGGAATGGAGGGGCGTTGAGTACCTGAGGAAGGTGGAATATTCAAGCAGGTCATCTGACCCAAACCCCTCAATTACCTGGTTCGGGCGGAGTTCAATAGGGTGGTCTACGGTGGCGGAGAAATCGACTATCTCGCTGATCTCAGGCACCCACTCACCACTCCACGGTAGACGTGGCAGAATCTCTCGACGGCGCTGCTCCAGAAGGCCGCGGCGGAGTATCGTAATAGTATTTGATATGCCTCTTTAATATGGCGGTGAAAACATCCGATAAGAATTCAATGAAGGGTAAACTTACAAACGCTCGAATGTCAAGCGAAAGGAAAAAGTATTTTTTTTGGCCCCCCTGTGTATTAGGTTGTCCGGAAAGTTCTGCAGGTTTGTGTGTTACTATTTTTGAACATTCATTGCTGATTAAAAACTCACTCTCCCTTGCGTCTCAGTAGTACATCCTGAAGAGAATTCTTTGCGCTATCTGATGGTATAATTGCCGTTTCACCATTGCTTTGACTGACCCCCTTTTTTCAAGAGTTTTTCAAGCATGTCAAAAGAGCACTTCCGACGATTTTTTTCTTCGACTATAAATTTTGTTGTCGAGATGTCTCTGTAGTGCTGTGTGAACTGTCAACAAATTAACCAGGTTTGGGGGCGCCCCCAAATAGTGCTAGATGAAAGCCTCGTTTGACGGCAATGGTTCAACAAATTTCGTTCTGGAGATTTCAGCCTTGAAGGTGAACCTCATAGCGGTCGACCTAAAGCAATATCTGACGAGGATTTTGAGGGGATTTTGGAGGCTGACCCATCCCAAACAGTTCGAGAGATTGCAGAAAAGCCTAGGCGTTGGCAAATCCACTGTTGCAGATGGTCTGAAACGCATTGGCAAGGTGAAAAAAACTCGATAAGTGGGTGCCCCTCAATTTGAGTGAGCGGCAGAAATTGGCACGTCTCGCGGTTTCCTCTTCACTGTATTTTTCACTTTTTGCGCAAAAGAAACGACCCGTTTTTGAACCGAATTGTCACCTGTGATGAAAAATGGATCATGTATGATAACAGGAGACGTTCCGGACAGTGGTTGGATTTCGGACGAACCACCGAGGTAATTTTTAAAGCCGAACCCTCACGAAAAAAAAGATTCTGGTCACGGCTTGGTGGTCATCGGCTGGTGTGATCCACTATAACTTTTATCACCAGGCTAAACCATCACAGCAGAACCCTACTGTGAAGGAATCGACGAAATGTACCGAAAATTTTGTCAGCTGCAGCCAACACTTATCAAAAGAAAGGCGTCCGCAGTTCTTTTGCTTTTTCCCACCACGCACCAGTTTTTTTCTTAGATGGGATTTCTCGACTGCTATCACATTGGCAAAAGTGTGCTGATTCGAATGGTGCTTATTTGGATTAAATCCGATGAGTGTTAAGAAAGTTATGATCGTTTAAAGTTAAACACTCAAAACCTGCAGAACTTTCCGGACAACCTAATAGCACAAGTGAAAAGAAAGTCAAACAACCGCGAGAAATTTTCCCCAAAACACCGCAGAATTTTTCTCCGAAGCAAATACGCCCACCCTTTCACCCAATAACCACCTAATACTACCCCCCCCCCCCGTTGGGGAATCCCCATCTCCTACGATGTGTGCCCTGTTCTCGTTTCTTCGCTCCTATAGTGAAGATTGAGTGTTACAGGGAGGGTGTTTTTAGAGGCATTTCCATGAATGCGGTTTTTTTTCAATTTCCCTGGAGGAATATCGCATTCGAACTGCATTTATAAGGCATATGGATACGCCACAAATTATAGCAGTTTCATTTCGGGTGGTCACGTAACACGCACCCGTTGATTGCCTTTATGACATTTACTCTCACACTGTGGATAGGCATGTACTGATTCATATTTGGCTCCGTCACCTATATTTTCCATTGATTCAGCGCATTTTTGAGAGTCTTCACATGCTGCGACTAAATCGTCATCTTCAGAGGCCAGCGGTTCTACCGTTCGAAGTCTCACTCCGCGATCAGGTATAGAAGTTGGAAATGTGGGTCGGGAGGGTAGTGTGGTCCGCGACGAACAACCTTGTACCGGTTTCGCGGCAAAAAATTGTAAGGGAGGGGCGCTATATATAGGTTCAGTGACGCCTCCTTTTTTCCAGTGACTCCGCCTCCAGACTCCGCCTTCAAGGCCCGCCTTTCAGTGAAAACGAAGCTGCAGGACGAAAAAGCATGAAAATCGTCACTTGTACGGTCGTAGAGTTCTTATCGGGGAATCAGCTGTGCGGATGAGGGCGTAGTGTTGGAGATGGAGTATTGGGCACGTACAAAGAGGGATCGTAATGGGGTTCTATCTAAGGCAGGTGGCGAGTTTTTTTTTGCCTTTTTTCCTTCACTCTGGAGTTACTCAGCACCTCGTCGTCTATATGTGAACCCCTAATCCACTAGCTGTAATAGCGAATGATCGCAGGTTTTGCCCTTAAGCGGGGAGAAAATTGACTGTACCACGACAGCGTCAGTCGCTTGTGAATGCTACGTTTATAACACGCTTTGATAACCAGACCGATTGTGGTGCCAGCGAACTTTTCTGGAAACCGCTTGGTCTGAAACCGCTGGTGCTTCTAAGACGGCGATTTCAGCTGCAAGCGTTTAGGTTTTATTCTATGATACGGTTCCACCTAACAAATTCGTAAGGCCACAGAACGCAGGTAAAACACAACTTTAATATGCGCGTGAGCAAGGAGAGGTGGGTTAAGACCTGGACACTTTACCGTACTGTAGTTAGTCATAAACTGTAGTAGAAAAGGGCTTGGAACAAGCCAAATAGCGAATTTTTTCAAAGGTTTTTTAGGTTCTTTTAAGTAGTACACGAAAATTTCCTTTTGGAGAGGCTTAGTTTCTCTGAAAAAATCTATCCCTATATATGAACCGAAACTTGTCTCGAAGGAAACCAATCGATTCAGTCGTTTCCGGCGCGGAAAGCAAAAAATATCGTCACATGGCACACTGATAGTACGGCGACCGTGGCTGAAGAGCCAGAGTTGCAGCGCTCTGCAACCAAATGGGAGGTTAAGAGCGATAATAAAGATTTGGGAAGCCAGGGGAGGTCCACCCGGTCAAGCCCGACGCGCCGTTTGGTTAGCCGAGCGCGACTGAACCATAACCGTTGGCCATGTTGCAGCTTATGTCCAAAAGCATTTTAGTATTGGATTGTGCTCGCAGAATACCACAAAACGTCCATATCTAAATAAAAGCCCAGGGGGTAGAACTCCCGTCGTTGATGAATTCCTTTTGGGATGCGGCACTGATGAATTCCTTTTGGGATGCGGTAAGCATTCGACCTCCACTTAAGAACCATAGAGGCTTTTGATTGCGATGCGGCCTCTGCAGTGACTATACAGGTCAGCCAGTGCACATTTCAGTGATTTTATCCTCCCAGACAAGTCTGTTGCCAAACAACAATTTTTATCGATGAAAAGCGCGATTGACCTGAACGGAAACGCCAGCATTTGACCGGTCACCTACGTGGTAATTAGCGTCACTTGTCACGTCACCTCCGTGTTATTCATTATCAACACTACCTCCTTTACAATATATTGCTACATATTGATAATGTTTTGTTGGACTTTGTTGGAGTAGGGATGTCAAAATGGTCCAAAATGTCAATTATTGGCTTTCCAGCTTCTTTCCCGCTATTGAACGTGACATCTCACCTTTATCCTTAAATGCTTCGCCACGGCCATTTGTTACGTTTCCAGTGTTGAATCTGGCAATAAGATCGGAAACTTTCTCTGAAAATCCAACGAACTCATTCGACACTTCCTTGGAAAAGATGGGATCACAGCCAAAGGCACTGTTCATGCTGGTTTCATGGGCGGAGACAGACATTTGTGCCTTTCTTGGTGGCACTTCTCCGATACCCCCAGTACCTTCGAAAGAGAGGAAGGCACAGTGGTGGGTCAGGCTCCGCCTATGCACCCAACATGGACCTTGACTTTAGGCAGTTTTTAAATAAACAAATGTGCCCAAAGCTAATCTATCGATCAAAATGGAACGCACTCTTTGGAACGATATTTTCAAGAGGTGCTTTAGGGACACGAGGTTCAGAGTTATCAATGGAAGGCCTGAATGACACCTAAAACAAATCACATTAGAATCCATGTAAATTCTTTGAAAACAGTGAGGTTAGAAATTCCCACAAAGATTCTACAGCGAGTAAGTTCCTCGAAAATTTTGTACATTTTGAGGAAGTTCGGCATAATGTGGAAGGAGCGAACCTAACACTTTCAAAACTCACATACCTTCATTCTCCTCTATTCTGTACAACGTTGTGGTTATGAAAAGAGTACTCTCACAATCCCGGGAAACACAACACAATCGTAATCAATCGCGTCGGCTTATCGCACGCCCACGTGCAGCGAGTTCTGGATATACATCACGGGAGACGGGCACGAGAATCGTAAATTGCCGCTTCGTCGCGCAATGGGCGCGACGTTTCCTTGATTTGCACTACCCTTTCGATTGGAGCATCGGATTTCATGTAGACAAGGACATGGTAGACACTTATGTCTATTTTTGGTCATACATTGTCTATTCTCGACCAATACCACCTGAAATCGTCGTCATTAGCGGGCGCGACGTCGCACGCGACGCCCACTGGCGCGCGAATTACGATTCTCTTGCCACATACCCATACATCACATTGCCTACTGAAGTAGAGAAACCAATATGAATTTGAGCAAAGAGAGAAGTCTATGACTGACCAGGTTTATTTTCCCGTCTTGACAAACGAACGCCTGACGAACGGGTGCCCAGGTTCTTCTTCGTAGCAGGACCTGGGAAGTCGTCCGTCCGGCGCAGCGGCGCTCTTACTAGCGCTGCTTATTGCGATTGTCTTGTCATATATCCTACAATTCCTCCCCCATTTTCGAGACAAAATAGCGCATTCTAGTTGTAACTATGGATGCGCGCGAACCGAGCGCGATTTCGAGCCTCACAATCAGATTCCTTCGCTCCATCACGGCAAACGTGAACATACTCTCAGCGAGCAGTGCAACTGTAGGAAGTCACCGTAACGCCGTAATTGATTTTACTACGGATTCTATTGAAACCAGGTGTGTGGTGGTTTATCGTCGGGTCGTCGCGCCGGTGGGCGGAGCGGGGCGTGGCGGCCGCCGCGTACGAGTTTTGTTGCGTGGCGTTCAAATTGTTAAAGGGTTGACGATCCCTTTAACAATTTGAAAGAGTCATCCTATTTTGATTATCTTTTTTCCTATTATGTCTTTCCGTACGGTAATGCAACTCCGGGATTGCCGCGCAGCGACGCGGCGCGGCGTGTGCGGCCTCGCCTGACTTGCCAACGATAGAATCGCCCGGGTGCCATTGAAACCAGACACCTTGGACTGTGCGTTTGCCGTAAGGGGCGTAACGGAGTTGAACCTAATTCTATCCCAAGATACCCCTGACAGCTGAAAAGGCCTGCAAGCGGGAAAAGCAAAGCTGTCTGGCGGATGATTCAGCCATTTGCATAACACATGGCTCTTAGCGCAGATGACTGTCTCCTACCCCATGTGAGTGGGAATCCTGATGGTCGTATTAGCGTCCAGAGCACCCTTTTACATGTCATGCCACATTGATTTCCACAAAAGTATCGAATGCTCAAAGGCAGCCCCTACACTCAAGCAGTTCGCGGTGTCTAAGCAAGTGGTCTGGTCCACATTCTGTGAGTTTATTCCCCTAGCGCGGCTACAGAGGAAGAAGCGAAGGAACTATGGCCCTCACAAGGCACTTCTGACACCTCTCTAGTCGTCGCCGCTTACCAGAACTCAAAGGCAATCCAAGTTCAGCTTCTTCACCGCCTTTTTCATTTTTTTCCACTTGTCAAATGGAATTAGAATTCGATGAGGCGAAGAAACGATTAGGAGTCAGAGGTGGTAGGATATCGTTTTGCTGGCATGAGACGAGCGTGTTCGGAATTCCATACAGGCTGTGAGACCCTCACTTAGGGCGTTCTACACGACCTTTCCGCTTTTTTTCCTGGAAAGTCACTTAAAGATTACTCAGTCCGTATCTCGGACATGGAATGGGCGTGGTCACGTGATTCATTCGAACGTGCTGCACTTTGGTGTTGTTGTTTTGGAATGCTACTACCCACAAAATGCGATCGCGGGGTTTGTGTACAAGAGCATATTTCCAACAGCGGTTTGCGCCTAAACATGGTACCTTCTGCTCGATTTGACGCTTTGGTTTTTCTTCTTCGATATGAGTGGCATGTGTGCCGTGGGCGGCGGCAAGCGCTGATGATGACACAGATGACGTGTGAGATCGTATTGTTTCTTCATCGCCTTCGTCCCCTTCCTCGGCCTGAAACGGGAAATAATTGATTACGGCGCTCCAACACGTCATAACTCTTTGTGTGCTGAACCACATTTTTGAATTGAAAGGCTGTGAGAACGAGACCCATGGCTGCTCCACAATTCCGTGCAGTGCTATTAAGTGCTAAGAAAAGGAAACAAAAAGCAATGTGCGTCACCTGAGCTTGTTTCAGGTACAAATGGACACATTCACGCAATTCGTAGTGAAAAAGAGTAGAGAAACTGATGCAGGTGAAATTCACAGGTCATGGTATTAGCTGGAAGTTGGACAGCACAGTAATAGTGCAGGCATTCACGGCTCTAGTCCCTCTTCGGTACAGACCGTATCTCGTAGATGGAGTGGGCGTGGTCGCGTGATTCATTTGAACGTGATGGCGGCCGCACTTTTGGTGGGATGTTGCGTTGCTGTTATGGAACAACTGTAGTCATGCCTTTGTCCAAAACAACACAAGATGACATTTGTCCCAAAAGGGGAGATTCCCCACAAAAACACAGCCCACGCCATATTCAAATGAAGTGCGCAGCCACGCCCTCCCGTCTTCGGAATGTGGTTATTACGATTTGAAAAGGATTTAAATCGGTAAAAACAGCATCATTTTATCGTGAACGCTCAGAAAAAGAGTTTTGCCTCAGCCTCAAGGGTACGCACTTCCAAGCAATTAAATGAACCATCCATCCCAGAGTTTCTTGAGTTTTAGTCTCAGGTACAAATCCTCATTCCTTTAGCTCAGACTCACTTCATCGCGCCATCAAGCACTGAATGGCGATTAACACAAAAAAAACATTGAACCTATAGTGCGGAAGCGTAAGTTCATACCACTTATCATGCAAAAATGGGATTACCGTAATCCTTTTCAAAATTTGTACCAAAACACATACAGTCTTTTTTTGTTGCGGATGCCGGGTGTGTCACGAGGGCCGGGTTTGTCGTGGTACTCACTCGTGCTAGCCACCTGCTGAAGCGAGCGGGCGACTATAATTGGTGGAAAGCGGGCTGGCGCACCGCCAAACTTAGCCCTCTGACATGTCCAGCTTTATAAGGCTCTACCTATGAGGTAATAGCACAATACTTATTTTTTAAAATTTTTAATCTCCCACACGGATCTACGGACCTGTATCTCCTGTACCGCAGTATCTTCCTCTTCACCGCCATAATCTTCAATGTCTTCATTAGTCATTTGCAAATTCGTATCGGCTTGATATTCCAGCACTCCTTCCTCCTCCTCTTCTTCATTTTCTTCCTTCGCTACCTCCTTTGTTCCAGATTTTTCTTCTACAACACAAAAACAACTAGTGGCAACTCATAACGAATATGTGTATTCAAGTCAACCCACGGCTCTCCTTGGAATAGTCGTGCTCATACTCCTCGACAACTTCTTTGCTTGGCATGTCTGCATCCTCTGTTGTGTCTCGGTACTCTTCAAAGCAAAAACAAAATTATGCGAAAAATCCGGAGGTACTTACTAGTATGACAGAGGCCACCAAGTAGGATGTTGACAATACTTACTAGATCTGTATTTGGATGAGTATTTGGATTCACGGGTCCCAGTGTAGTCATCACTACCGGTATCATCCTTGGCCGCGCTGTAACGGCTAGAATATTTCCCATAACGACTAGAAGTGTAGTCTTTGGTGGGATCGACCTCATCTTCTGACGATTTCTTCCGGACGTCAACATCTTCCGATGTGTCATAAGTTCCTGAAAATAGATGAAATACGAAAATTCTTATTCTTTCTCTCTTACGGAGGTAAGAGACGTCTAAACAATGAAGCATCATCAACGCAACCTACTTGTTCTGTAACTGGAAGAATATTTTGATTCTCGCGGCGATGAATAGTCGTCACTACTGGTCAAATCTTTACCAGTAGAATACCGGCTCGAGTAACCACCATAGCGACTTGAAGAATCTCTTCCAGTATCAGCATAACGGCTACTGTACGAACTGGAGTAACGTGATGTGTAGCTCATTTCTGCCAGCCGAATATACAAATTTAACAGTGGAAACAGACGAGTTTATCTGGTAGTCAGACGAGCAACACTGATTCGCTAGCGTTACTGGTAAAGAGCACCTTAGTCATTCGTATTACGTCAGCCATGTGAATGAATCAACAGCAAGAAACAGCGCCCATGAACATAATGAAAACGTTAGGGCTCGATGATTTCAGTGACTGGACCGTTTTATTGAAATGCCACATTCCTCGATAACGAATTCGCTTCCGTTTCATTTTCAGACGCGGGGAGATGTATTCCGCCTATAGGGTGAAAGAGAAAGACGGGATTGCACCATAGCGAAAAGCAACATTATGAAATGTTGACGATTATCGATTGATCTAAATGGGGACAAGCTTTCACTTACAATGTGCCATAGCTGTAATGGATCGATGGCCAGTAGAGCTGGCACCATATACCTGCAGAAGACAGCTGTAAAAGGGGAGGGGGGCAAAAAAACACTTTACCGAGTCACGTATCAGTAAAGTTTACGCAGCCCCAGAAGACGTGGATACGAGTACCAGGGCGGATACCCAAGATGTTCCTCGATAAGCAGGAGCAGGCTCTCGTCCCATCACCTTCATGTACACCAAAATATGAAGCCATCTCCAATCGCAGCCTGACTGGAGAAGGCCTATGGAATTCATGTCACCTCCAAACAGCTGCGAAACTTCTCGTATCTAGTCATCCTATCTGGGGACTGGCACTCTTGATCTGGAAGACCTCCAACATCGAGCAGCTCCGACAACGTCGCTACGGTCCAGGATATCATCTTCACCGCAGTCGCCAAGGCGCGGGTTGATGGTATGACCGGAAGTTTCTGGAATGGGAAGACCGATATTTTCTTCGTGGACGGGAGCGCTTACATCGAACAACTCGTGGAATATCCTGCCTTCATGTCGTCGCCTGTACCATCTTGGAAACTTCGTACTGCTACAGGATTGGGTGACACCACATGGAATCAAAGGGCGTTGGGAAAACTCTTGCCTACTTGGAATGGAAGGGCGTTGAGTACCTGAAGAAGGTGGAATATCTAAGCAGGTCACCTGACCTAAACCCCCTCAATTACCTGGTTCGGGCGGAGCTCAACAGGGTGGTCTACAGTGGCGGAGAAATCAACGACCTCGCTGAACTCAGGCACCGAATCACGGTCGCGTGGCAGAATCTCTCGATGGCGCTCGTCCAGAAGGCTGTGGCGGAGTATCATGATAGTATACAATGTGCTGTTGAATATGGTGGTGGAAATGTCCAATCAGAATTCAATAAAGTGTAACTTATATCGCTTTGAAAGTCGAGGAAGAAAAATGTCTTGCTAGTTCTGCTCGCATTCTATGTACAGGGGGGGCCAAAAAAAAAAGTCATTTTGCCTCCATGACTTTCAAGGCGCTATAAGTTACACTTTATCAAATTTTTATCGGACATTTTTACTACCATAGTCTTAAAGAGCAACATTACAATACTATAATATTACTCCGCCAGCAGGCTCCTCGGAGGGCGCCTCATCGGAGAGATTCGGCCGCGCGAAAGTGAGTGGGTACCGGAGTTGAGCGAGATCGTTGATTTCTCCGCCACCGTAGACCACCCTATTGAACTCCGCCCGAACCGGGTAATTGAGGGATACAGGTCAGGTGACCTACTTGGATATTCTACCTTCTTTAGGTATTCAGCCGCTCCTTCCCATCGCAAGTAGTGCGGGAGTTTTTCCAAAACCCTTCGATTCCATGTGGTGGCACCCAAACCTGTAGCAGCACAAGGTCTCCAAGAAGGTACGGGCGACCACATGTAGGGAGGATATCCTTCTCGAGTTACTTGATGTAACCGCCAGCGCTCACCTTCAGTCGGGGTCTACAAAGAAAATATCGGTCTTCCCTTTCCAGGTACCCCGGTCCATACCATCAACTCGCGCCTCGGCGAATACGGTGAAGATATCTGTCTAGACCGGTATGCGACTTTGCCGCGTAGCCTGATCGATTGGTGGGAGGTCTTGCAGGTCAAGAGTACTGACCTCCAGGTAGCTATCTGTGGATGACTTCATTCAAGAAGTTTCGCAGCTGTTTGGAGGCGACGTGAATTCCAAAGGTGTTCTCCACAGCCAGTCCTGCGACTGAGAATGACTTCCATATTTGGCGTAGGCATGAAGGCGATTGGCCGGCACGCGGTCTCCAGGCTTATAGAGGAAGATCTTGGGTATCTTCCACTCTGGTACTCATATCCACTTCCCCTGTCTGGGCTGCGAAAACTTCGTTGATATGTGGCTCGGCCGAAATGACTTTTTTTTGCTTTGCTCGCATTCCATGTAGTCATATTCGCAACGGACGCTGGCAATGTGCCAGAAGGACTGGGTTTGGCGCGGCGCCAGCCTTCCCTTCGCTAGCTCGCATCACAGATTGATCAGTGCGGGTTGACGTCTTTCCAGACCCAGCTTCCCTAACACACCCCATCATCCGCACTGAACAAGGCTGTAACTTTATCCTCATAGTACCTCAGTGCTATGGCATTTTGTTGTCAGCGTGACGACTGGTTAATAGTTTGCTGCTGCCCAATTTAATACATAATATCCGCCCTTAGTTCCTTGGCAATACCCAATTCATGTTACCGCTACAACCGTAATATTGCTACGAGCAAATAAAGGACGTTCGACCTACTAATAGATAGTTCTTCACTAGAAGATATTCCCATGAATACGTTCCGATGACTTGAACATCGTGACGCTCGGACTAGCGACGGAATTATTTCCAGTTTTTTTTTTCATCTCGAAAGGTGAACTCGAGTATAAAATATATGGAATACGAGCATCCCCTCTTTCAACCACCGCTTGAAAAAAAGGGGAGACGGGCAAGAGAATCGTAATTGCCGCTCCGTCGCGCGCGGCAATGGGCGCGACGTTTCCTTAATTTGCACTACCCTTTCGATTGGAGCATCGGATTTCATGTAGACAAGGACATGGTAGACACTTATGTCTATTTTTGGTCATACATTGTCTATTCTCGACCAATACCACCTAAAATCGTCGTCATTAGCGGGCGCGACGTCGCACGCGACGCCCACTGGCGCGGCGAATTACGATTCTCTTGCCACATACCCGAAAAAATAAATGTGTGGGAAGAGCCAAGTCTACATGGTGCCCCACTCGTTGGCCGTGCTCGTAGAGGTCACCTTATCTATAATTCCTGAAACAGAGTGGCACCTTGCAGCTTGACAAGTTGCACGAAAG